CTGTATTATAATAAGCTATTTTACGACTAATTTAAATTGCATACGGTTATGTAATACTGATATAAATATTTATAAGAATAAAATTTGACTAAGACCATTTATGCAAAATATCAAGAAAATAATTTAGCTTGAATTTATTTTTCAAACAATAATGCGCTCGCACAAATTAATTCCTAGATTCTTTATTATATAATAATAGCATTTTATAAAAATTCTAATTAAAAAATATTTTTTAACAGCTCGATATAAATTTACTTTGGTACAATAATCTTGATTCAATTACAAATTCGGTAATTTCATTGATAAATGTAGTTAACTGATTAAAAAGTCTTTTGAAATGCCAAATGAAGTTTACTTAAAATCAAAACAATAATATAAATTAAATTATTTATTACTACAGAAAAACACTCATGACTTACCAAGGTTATAGTCAATATTCACAGCTATAACCATATTAATTATTACTATCATAATCTTAATATGCAATAATATTATATTATACTTCATTATAATTTATTTAAAATTTAATTTATTGTACTTAAAATAATTTAAGCAGACAACTTTTTATTGAATGTTACAATATGTAAAGTCTAGTACAGGATATATAATACTAGAAATTTTAAAAATAGACTAAAATTTAATTAAAAATCTGTTGAACATATGGTATAAACCGACACATTTTAAACCTTTTTATTTTTAGATTAAGCAATTTTAATCACGCATTTAATAAATGTGAATAAAAAATTTAAAATTAAAACTAATGTTATATTAATAAATAAAATAACAATTAAATTTAAAATCTACTTTATAAATCTATACTAGCAATATTACTCTAAAATATATTATATTAAAACAATTATTATAAAGTTTGAAATATTTATATTAATTTAACGTTTATTACTATAGCGTTGAGTCGGATACACCTGGGTACAATTAGTAGTATTTGTAGTACTAGTACTTGGGGTAGATCTTGATGTGCCTGGTTGATTTTGTTGCTGTGAACTCGTATACCCTTCAAATTTCTTTTCAATTTTCGTTTTTATAATACTCGCCATATTTTCCAACCTAGGTGCAACTTTCTTATAAACTAATACATAGTAATATAAACATTATTATTTTAATTTTATCATTGTAAATCATAGTATAAGTACCTGAACTGGTGGTATCATAAACAGCCTGGCCAAGCATTTGTGTATAAGTTTTATCTTGCTCATTATTTTCTGATGTTTTATCAGGGTACAAATCATTTTCATTGACAGTATTATAAGTGATCTGACAATGAATAGCGTAAAGGTCGATGAAATTATCATATTGGGTCTCGCTCATTTCATTTAGTGAGTTTATCATGATCACATGCATATTATTTCTTGACAAGGTAATAAAATCAAATTCGTTATATGAATTAAATTGTGGGAAAGATAAGCTAGCATAATTTGGACCTGTTACATTTGATAATATCTGGGCCGGTATAGGCTGATTAATCCCGCAATAATAAATAAGTCTTTGCTTACTCAAAAAGTAACTACCATATTTTGAGCACGTTACAAACTTAATACCATTCAGGTTGGGAATAAACTTTGGTTTATCAATGCACTCATCAGGCACATTATGACCCAACATACCCTGAAAATTATTGCCCCAGCTATACACTAATCCCTCTGTAGTAATGGCAAATGATCGGCAATCGTAACAATAAACTTGGCCAATTTTAGTACCTTTCATAAATTCCAGTTTAACTCTACCGTAATTAATTTTACGATCCACCAACTTTCCACACCCTAATTGACCGCTACTATTACCGCCCCACCCATACACCTGTCCACTATGGGTTAACACCAGGGTATGCTCAAACCCGCAACAAATCTGCTTGATAGGTTTATCATTAAAATACTCAAGCTTCTCCGGTTTAAAGTACACGTTGCCCTTGCTCAATTTTCTAGCCAATTGCCCACATGTATTGACTCCCCAAGCATACAATTTGTTATTGGTGGTTTCAGCGAGCACAAAATCGCCGCCGTTATAAAATTGTTTAATATTCTTGTGACACAATTCCTGTACGATTTGCGGCGATTCAACGGGAATATTGTGACCCATTCCCAGACACCCGCGACAGTTGTCACCCAAACCGTACACAAAGTCGTAGTTCGTTATGAATATGACGTTTGAGCCGTTGTTTGTCGATAAGAAAACGTGAAATAATGTGACCTTTTGCTTGACTTCACCGGGAATTTTGTCGCATATTTTGAACAAGGCTAAATAAGTTGTTTTAAAAATGTCTTAATTCACTATATTATATAAACTATAAATGCATGTTTAAATTATATCTCACTAACAAGTTTTAGCATGATGACTTGGCACAGGTAAATCAGGGTATAGTTTTGAACCCAGAGCCATTGTTGTATTTCCGTGAGAATCCATTGTTGGTATAACTGGTACTTGTAGTGTAGGGGCGGATGGTATTGGAGTCTCAATTGAAACTGGAGGGGCTGATGGAGGTGGAGTGGCTGTCCGTTTGACTGATGCCTGCGCTTCCTATTCATATAATATATTATACAAGTTGTTGGTAATTTATAATAAAAATATTCAACATACCGGCGCTTGTTTTAAAGGCTTTTCATCACTTTCGGCCGCCATATTGAAACTCGTTTGATGTTTCAATGACTGTATCTCTTGATTGGCGTTTCGATTCAATTGCATGAGTGCCTCAATACAGT